CCAATACATGGATGACAACGTCCTATGCTCCTCTCCCTGGGACGCCCAGCGCGCGAGGATCGGCTCACTCCATCGCGCCGCAGGCGACACGCGGGCCGAGCTTCGATATACGGACCATGGAAGACAGAGTGCATGGAGACGGGGTTTGCTGCTTGGCAGGCCCACGGGGCCGCGGCCTTCGTTGATACTCACGTGCACTTGGGGGTCCCGCTCGACAACAGGACCCGCCTGGCTGACCTGATGAAGCAGGTCGAGCATCGGGCGGAGCACGGGTGGAACAGCCGGCTTACGGCCCTGGAATTGCTGGGCCTTCCGATGCGCGTCGCCCTGCGGGCGCTGCCGCTGCGCGTGCAGACACGCGCGCGCCTCGCTGCGCCGTTGCTTTTGGCGCGGCCAGACTGGGCAGCCGGGCTCCACGTAGTCCAGGATCGCTGGGTCACCCGGCTCCTTGACCTCGAGCAGCCCGCCCCCCGCCCCCCGCATCCAGCTCCCCCGCGAGCTCGGCTTTTCGCTCCGGCTGGCGACGTCGACCCTCCTGGCGGCCATCGGACTCGCGGCGCGGATTGAGGCTTCCCTGGCGGACTCCCAGCCGGCGCGGGCCGCGGCGGTGGCGGCGTCGGTCCCGTCCTCCTGGCTCGCCACGGTTCACAGGCACCTCAGCGACCTCGCGCCCCCCACGTATCCGATGTGGGCCGAGCGCGACCATGGCCTCATCCCTGGCACTTGGGCGACGTTCGGGCACGGCCTCCTAGCGGGGCAGCTCACCGCCGCACAGAGGAAGCGCAGCGTCGCGCGCTACCTGGACGCGGTCGCCCGGCCGACGCTGCTCGACACTCGACAGGGAGATGGCATGGCGAGAGCGGGAGGCGTTCCGCTGCCCACAACGCGGCCCCCAGGCGACAGCGGCGATCGCGGCGGGAACCACGGCCCCGCCATCCGCCATCCAGGCGTGGGCGCAATTCCGGATCCAGGGGAGGCTCACCTACAGGAGGGGCGCGGGGACCGCCAGATGCGCCCGCTGCGGAACGGGCATGCTCCGCGACGGGGTCCACCCCGTTGAAAGCTGCCCGCAGGCGGAGGCTGCCGCGCGCGAGGCGGCCGCCAGCACCCCCTGGGCGGGGCGCGCCCCCCGCGCGGCGCTGGCCGCCCCCTGGGCTGGCGACAACGCAGAGGCAGGCCTGGCAGCGCTAGCGCGCGAGGCGCAGGCGGCGCCGGACCTGCGCGCAGCGGCGGCGGCGCCGGCGGGGAAGAGCCAAGATGCCCGCGGGCGGCCAGTGGGTGCTCCAGCAGACCCCGCCTGTGGCGGACTGCTGGGCCCTGCTGAGCCAGCCGGCAGAGTCGCGGGATGGTGGCACATGACATCTTCCACAGAAGTCGCGGAGCCAGCCTTCTGGCCAGCGCCCGCGGGGGAGAAGCCGCGGCGGCGCTCGAAGAAGAAAGGAAGAGAAGGATGAGAAGGGGCGCGCGGGACAGGGAAAGGGGCGACCTATCAGTAACAAGGGGGAGTGGGGAGCACAGTAGGCGGAAAGGGTCCAGAGCGACCACCCGCTCGAAGATGAACCTTGGGACCCGTCACCTGAGAGGAAGGGGCCATCCGAGCCACGTCGGGCCCTCGCGCAGGCCCGATCCACAGCCAAGACGACCAAGGAAACCGCGTCCTCCCAGCAGAGTCCACATGAGGCCAGACCTCGCCGAAGGCCTGGCCCCGGCCCAGACCTCGCAAGGTTCCCGAGGTCGGGGGCCGACGGTGCAACGATATCGGGCGGCTCTGGGTCTGGCTCAGCACGGGGCTGGCCGGGGCCGCACTGCTGGACCAACGCGGGCAACCCGCTCGCGCGCGAGCGCGGCCCTGCGCGCGCACGCGCCTCCTCGCGTCGGCGCCGGGCCCTCGCCCGCTGCCCCCCGTCGGGCTCGAGCGGCGGAGGAGAAGGAGGAGGGGGAAGGGAGGGCGTCAGTTGAGCGGAAGATCGGGACAAATCGGAACCAGAGATTTGGGGGGAGTTCCAGAGACAAATAGAACGCCGATTTGCGGAGCGTAGCGCGCGCATTCGCAGAAGTTCCCAAAGAGTGTTCGTGGGCTTGAGGAGCCCAAGTAACACATGGGCACTCAATTAAACTGTTGAGGGCGGGCAGGAAATCTGGTGTGCACGAGCATTGTGAGCGGGTGCGCGGCTTGCGCGGGGGGCGCAGTAGGTTTGTGTTTTGGGACTTGGGCGCTGACCACTGCGCTGATGGGGGGCCCGAGAATGCGTCACACATATTACGCCCGTGGCGCCTTGGAGGCCGCATTTGCGGTTGCAGTTGGGCGGGCGCCCCGCCGCGCGCACCGTGGCGACAGCTCTTTTGGGCGCCCGCCCGCCGCCGTGGACGTAGCGGGCCCAGCTAGTCTCTCGGTCGGCGCGCGGCGGGTCGGCAGCCACGACGCTGGCGGCCTGGGAATGCTTCGAAAGTGTTTCTCCCCGAGCCTCTTCTATTGTACGTTTTCGGTGGCACGCGCAGCTCGGAGAAAAATCGCCTTGTCCGTCGGCGGCCAGTTGGCTGTCGTCGCGCAGAAGTACCGGCGGATGGCGCGGTCCACGCTCAGCGCAGAGAGCGCGCCTATGAGCGTGGACTCGTCGAGGGGCAGGAGGAAGGACCTCGCGGTCGGGACCATCGCGGCCCGCGATGTCCACGGCCCCCACCCTGGGCGCGCGAGGACCTGCTGGGCGCCGCCGCAGCTCGATTTCAGAGAATCTCGGAACCAGAGATCCGGGCGCGCCAAATTTCGCGGGCCGAAGAACTCTCAGAGAGTTTCGGCCAGCTCCGAGGTTTTGGGTTTATGGGAATGTTTCGCGCGGGGTGGCTAGTTCAGAGATTTTCAGAGATTCTCAGAGAAGTTCGGACGCGAGAATTTGGCGCGCCGCGGTTTCTGGTTCTGCGAATCTCTGAAAAGCGGTTCCTTAGGTTGTACCGGGTTTCCAGGCGTCCTATTGTCAGCCAGAGACGAGCGACTGGCTGGCGCCGCGCCCGATGCTTCCGGAGTTGCGAACTCGGTCTTCGCTTCCCTGGGGCCCGCGGGCCCCTGGGCCAATCGCGAGGTTGCCGAGGCCCCCAGGCGGTTGCGCGCGATTGTCTCGGAAACCGGAGTTGGGTATCCATGGTGGACGCCCGCGCGCACGCGCTAGGTGTCCGCGAGATTGTTCGGTGGCGGATCTTGCATGGCGCGGGGATTTTCCAAAGACTTTCCGGGGTGTTCTCTACGGTTATTTCGGCGCGCTTCGGGAACCTTGGGGCGGCGCGGGGGAGTCGCCTGGCCGCGCGCGGGACTTTTTTCCAATGTCTTCTTGGGCATTATCGCGGTGTTGCGCGGCCGCAGAGGTCACTGAGTAACGCGATTTTTGATATGTTCGTGTTTTTTCGTTGCGTTGGTTGCGTGATTGCTTTGGCGGTCCGCCTCCTTGGGGCCCCCTTGGGGCCTCAAGTTTGTTTTGTTGACGTCGGGCCTTCTGGAGTGAAAGGCGCTTGGCGCTGAATTCCCTCGGGCGTGCGCGTGGCCAAATACGCGCCGTGGCTTCATCCGCGCCGGTTTCTTCTCTCGCGAAGCCGATGGCGCCCAAGGCGTGGCAGGCCCGTTCGGCGGCACCCCCGGTGATTTGAAAAACCGAGCATGATTTCTATCCCGGTCAAATTTTGCCCCGATCCTGGCTTCATCTTAGGACGCAGAGGGCCAGGAGATGGGACAAGGAGGAAATCTTGGAGCCAGCCAGGAGTCCGAGGTGGCCCAGCATTGGAGCCGGCGGGCCGGAAGGGGGGCAGGTTCGAGGTTCTGGGTTCGAGGAGGTCTTTGTTTTTCCAGGCTCCAGGAGGCGTTTTCGGGCCCCGGGACCTTCAGAAACGGACCCGGGTGAAAAATTGCACCGGATGGACCCCAGCAGGGGATTTTTAGCGGATTTGGCTTCATCCCCCCTCCTGACCGATTTTCTTGGGTCCCGATCAATTCAGAAATTCTGGCCGCCTCCAAGGAGGGAGGATTCAGAGGTCCAGGAGATGGGACAAAAAGGGAAACCGTCAAGGCCTACAGTGAAGAGCGCTGAGGTTCACAATGGATTTCTGCTTCCTCTCGCAGCTGGGTATGGCCATCTTCGGCTGAGGCTATCTCGAAGGACCTGAGAAACGACTCGGTGAGGGATCAGCCCGAGACTTTTGGCCTTGGCGGGAAGCAACATCGGGGCCCCAGTGAACTTCTGGTGGGCGTCCCGGGACCAGGGAACTAAAAAGGAAATGAGGCTGGACAAAATATAACCAGTGTCGGCCTAGAATTCGAAGCCTGAGGATGCGAGGGCGATAGAGGGAGGCCACTTCCAAGAACTGGATTTTGGACAGGATCCCCACCAAGTCCTAGGCGTTTCAAAGCTGCCCGCGCGTCCGTACAATGAGTGTTGGCTGGTATTGTTGGTGGCCCCCCTCATGCAGAGCCACGCCGCGAGAGGACAGAGCGAGAGATCGGGATGTCAGCCATGGCATGGCCCGTAGATGGTCCCAGGGGGTGGGGCGGGGGAACTGGTGCGCCTTGTGAGGCAGCCGCGCGGATGAGCAGTGAAAAGGTGGTGTCGCGCGCGGCAGCATGCTTTCGTGTCCCCCCCCCTCCTTGAAGTACGAGCCACAGCGCTTCCCGCCGTGCTGCTTCTTGCTCCCCAGGCAGGGGCTCGCCGCCACGGCTGGACGTGGCGCGAAAAATGCGCGCCAGGGCGGCGCCTGGGCTTCGGGGGTCGGGTTTGATGGGAGGTTTTCCAGTGCGGGAAAGAATACTTCCATATTTTGACGCGTATGGAGCGGTGCCTTGTGACGCTGGACGCTCTGGAGAGCCGTAAAGAAAATCGGCCCTGGCTCATCCGGAGCAAATGTCCTGACTCGCTCGTGGAGGTCCTGGAAGCTGAGCGAGCACCGCAGGCCATCTGGGCTGAAGCCGACCTCCAGGCTCGCTGCGGCGCCCTTCCCGACTTCCAGCCCACCTCGCGCCCATGGCTCGCGCCCGCGGTTGCCTGCCCGCGGCGCTGCTGGTGGCTGCCGCCCTCTGCTTGACCGCACCGGCATTCGTGGCACCGCCGCGCGCGGCGCCCCTGCTTGACTCGCGCGTCTTCGCGGCGACGGCGGCGGGCCTAACGCCCCTCGCGCTGGAGCAGCCGGCGGGCGCCTACGACAGCGTGGTGGCGATGCTGCAGAGCTGGCTGGTGGGCGGCACGGTGCTCACCATCATCATCGCCGCGGCCCTGGTGGCCGCCACGGCGAACCCGCTGTCGAAGCGGCGCGCGGCGGTGGCGGCGCAGGTGGAGGGGAAGAAGTGAGCCTCGCGCGGGCGACGGCCGCGACGCGCGACACCCACAGGCTGAGGAGGAGGAGGAGGACAGGGACAGAGAGGGATGAACGGGGAAGCGGATGTGGGCCGGACATGCCCGGGCAGTGCCAAGGGCTTGACCGAAATGATTGTTGTTCTCCCGCTCACGAGTCGCCAGCAGTCCTCGGGGGTTGTGCCCGCGTGCGCGTGCTCACTGCTCCCTCTGCTGCACGATGCGAGCTGACAGCTTTTTCAGAATTGCCGCGGCGGATTGGCGGCGGAAAACAGCTGAACGAGCAATTCCAAACAGCATCGGAGGCTGGGGGGGGTCGGTGTCGGTTCGTGCCGCGCGTGTGGACGAGGCGAAGCTGCGCGGGGGCGCTCGTGTGTTTACCGAGGCTAGAGCCTAGTGGGGCGAAGAACCTCTGTCCCCGTCTTGCGGGGGTCCGAGAAAGTCTGAGGTGTCCCGTGGGATGTCTTGTGCGTCGTCCCGTGGGTTGTCTCGTGGGTTGTCCTGTGGATTATCCAGCGGATTGCCCGTGGGTTGTCCCATGGGTTGTCCCGTAGTTGTCCCGAGGGGTTATCCCAGGGTTTGCCCCGTGGATTGTCGCATGGTTGTCCCGTGGTAATTGCGAATCCAAGTGCAAACGACATGCAGAACGAAACACGACGTGAACTGTAAATCGAAACGCACATCGAATTCCAAGCTGGAATGCAAATCGGATCGCACGCCCGAAACTCTAATCAGCCTGCAAATCGAAACGCAACTCCAATTGCAATCGACATTCAAGTAAACATGCAAATCAGATTGCAAGCCGTCAGTTGCAATCGGAATCAAAATCGAAATGTGAATAGAACTGCGAATCGAATTACAGCTCGAAGTGCAGTTCGAAATTCAAAGATACATGCAAGTTGAAACGCAAATCTGCAGGCAAATCGAGAATGAACATCGCAAGCGAACATCAAGATACAGTCGACTGGATTTGAAATGCAAATCGAAATGGCAATCGAAACCGACATGCAACTATGAATGCAGTTCAAAATCCAGGCCAAAGGCGAATCGCTGGAAATTCATGTCGGAACGCAGAACTACACAAACATCGAAATGCGAATCGAACTGTCAGTGGAAATGCAGATCAACATGCAAATCAGAAGGCGCATCGACATGCAAGAAAAAACGCAAGACGAAGTTAAGTCAGGCAGAGCCACGTCGCGAGAGGACAGAGCGAGAGATCGGGATGTCAGCCATGGCATGGCCCGTAGATGGTCCCAGGGGGTGGGGCGGGGGAACTGGTGCGCCTTGTGAGGCAGCCGCGCGGATGAGCAGTGAGAAGGTGGTGTCGCGCGCGGCAGCATGCTTTCGTGCCCCCCCCCCTCCTTGAAGTACGAGCCACAGCGCTTCCCGCCGTGCTGCTTCTTGCTCCCCAGGCAGGGGCTCGCCGCCACGGCTGGACGTGGCGCGAAAAATGCGCGCCAGGGCGGCGCCTGGGCTTCGGGGGTCGGGTTTGATGGGAGGTCTTCCAGTGCGGGAAAGAATACTTCCATATTTTGACGCGTATGGAGCGGTGCCTTGTGACGCTGGACGCTCTGGAGAGCCGTAAAGAAAATCGGCCCTGGCTCATCCGGAGCGAATGTCCTGACTCGCTCGTGGAGGTCCTGGAAGCTGAGCGAGCACCGCAGGCCATCTGGGCTGAAGCCGACCTCCAGGCTCGCTGCGGCGCCCTTCCCGACTTCCAGCCCACCTCGCGCCCATGGCTCGCGCCCGCGGTTGCCTGCCCGCGGCGCTGCTGGTGGCTGCCGCCCTCTGCTTGAGCGCACCGGCATTCGTGGCACCGCCGCGCGCGGCGCCCCTGCTTGACTCGCGCGTCTTCGCGGCGACGGCGGCGGGCCTAACGCCCCTCGCGCTGGAGCAGCCGGCGGGCGCCTACGACAGCGTGGTGGCGATGCTGCAGAGCTGGCTGGTGGGCGGCACGGTGCTCACCATCATCATCGCCGCGGCCCTGGTGGCCGCCACGGCGAACCCGCTGTCGAAGCGGCGCGCGGCGGTGGCGGCGCAGGTGGAGGGGAAGAAGTGAGCCTCGCGCGGGCGACGGCCGCGACGCGCGACACCCACAGGCTGAGGAGGAGGAGGAGGACAGGGACAGAGAGGGATGAACGGGGAAGCGGATGTGGGCCGGACATGCCCGGGCAGTGCCAAGGGCTTGACCGAAATGATTGTTGTTCTCCCGCTCACGAGTCGCCAGCAGTCCTCGGGGGTTGTGCCCGCGTGCGCGTGCTCACTGCTCCCTCTGCTGCACGATGCGAGCTGACAGCTTTTTCAGAATTGCCGCGGCGGATTGGCGGCGGAAAACAGCTGAACGAGCAATTCCAAACAGCATCGGAGGCTGGGGGGGGTCGGTGTCGGTTCGTGCCGCGCGTGTGGACGAGGCGAAGCTGCGCGGGGGCGCTCGTGTGTCTACCGAGGCTAGAGCCTAGTGGGGCGAAGAACCTTTGTCCCCGTCTTGCGGGGGTCCGAGAAAGTCTGAGGTGTCCCGTGGGATGTCTTGTGCGTCGTCCCGTGGGTTGTCTCGTGGGTTGTCCTGTGGGTTGCCCTGTAGTTTGTCCCGTGGGTTATCCAGCGGATCGCCTGTGTGTTGTCCCATGGGTTGTCCCGTAGTTGTCCAGAGGGGTATCCCAAGGTCCCCGTGGATTGTCGCATGGCGCTCCCGTGGGAATTGCCAATCCATTTGCAAACGGCATGCAGATCGAAACACAACGTGAATCTGCAAATCGAAATGCAAATTGAGGTCCAAGCTATCGGATCGCACATCTAAAACTCGAATCAGCCTGCAAATCGAAACGCAACTCCAATTGCAATCGAAAGTCCAGTCAACATTCAAATCAGATTGCAGGCCGTCAGTTTCAGTCGAAATCCAAATCGACATGTGTACAAGTTGAAATGCAAGTTAGCATGCAAATCGGAATGGACCTCGAAAATAAACATCAAGATGCAGTCGACATGCATGTGAAACGCAAGTCGAAGTGGAAATCGAAACCGACATGCAAATATGAATGGTGTTCAAATCCGGACCAAAAGGAGAACCGCTCGAAATTCATATCGGAACGCGGAATTGCACACACACACATGGAGATGCGAATCGAATTGTCAGTGGAAATGCGGGTGAACATGCAAGCCAGAATGTGCATCGGAATGGAATACAAAATTCAAGTCAGTCAATGTCGAAACGCAAGCCAAAGACAAGCATTGATACATTCGAAGCGCGTTTGGACTGCAAATGCGAATGACATCGAAATTCACGTGAAATGATCATCGATATACACGGGCATCGTTGTGTGTGTGTCTCTCTCTCCCTCCCTCCCTCCCTCTCGCTCTGCTTCCCTCTCTCTTCCCTCTCTTCTCTCTCTCTCTCTCTCTCTCTCTGTCTGTCTTCTCTCTCTCTCTCTCTGTCTTCTCTCTGTCTCGCGTTCTCTCTCTCTCTCTCTCTCTCTCTCTCTTTCTTTCTCTCTCAGCTTCCTGATCACCCGAAGGGTGTTTGACGAGGTGTCAGATTTCATGGTCGGGGTTCTGTCGACGTCGTCAGAGATCAGTGGGGGCTTCTGTCGATTCACTCAGTATGCCGTCGGGAAAAGAGTACAGAAGGATGTCACCCCCGCATGTCCCACACAACAGCGGGTGTGCGTGCGCGAGCGCGTGCATGCACACTCACCCACACCAGAAGCCCCGATGCAAATTTGCATGCGTATGAGCACACTACACATGGTACGTAGCACCCTGCAGTTGCGGATACGACTGAGGGGGCGCAAATATTGCTTTTTGTTTGCCCCCAGTTCTAAACGCTTGCAACTCCACCAGCACATCCAGAAACAATGTCCAGACGAGTTGCCTTGATCAGGGATGTGGAGGAGCATACAGTGGAATAGTGCGCTGGGTAAGTCGTGGTACCCCAAGAGGAGGAGGATGGATGGAGGAGGAATCGGAGAAGCAGGAGAAGGAGGAGGAAGAGGAGTAGGGAGAGGGGGAGCGGAAGGAGGGAGGAGGAAGGAGGATGAATAGGTGGATAAGGAAGAGGAGGAGGAGGAGGAGGAGGAAAAGAAGGAGGAAGAGGAAGAGGAGGAGGAGGAGGGCGAGCAGAAAGGCCAGAAGCTTGTCGATCCCTCTGGGAGTCTCGTCGGAATTCTTCCGAGAGCTTCGCGAAGTCCTCTTGGGGTGTCCCTGGGGCTTCTTGGGGCGTCGTGGGTGCTTCTGGGGCCTCTTGGGGCCTCCGCGAGTCTCTTGGGAGCCTCTTGGGGGCATCTTGGGGGCCTCTTGGGGGCTTCTTTAGGAGCTTCGGGGGCCATTTTGGAGGAGATCGATCAAAGGAGGGGGGCTCCTTAATTCGCCCTCCCCCCCCCCCCAAGAGGACAAATGTAGCCAAAACTTTAGCAAACTCAGTGATGTTGGCCTTCTCGCAGAGGCTTCGTTGGGCGTCTCGGGTGCCCCTGGGTGGATTCTTGGGGATCTCTTGAGAGCCTCTTGGGGGCCTCTTCCGGGCCTCTTGGGGTCCCTTGGGGCCTACTAGGCACCTCTCGGGGCCGTCTTGGGGCGCACCCTTGGGAGCTTCGGGGGCCATCTTAGGCGCCATCTTGGAGGAGATCGATCAAAGGAGGAGGGCACCTCAAGTCGCGTCCCCCCTCCCAGGAGGACAAAATGTAGCCAAAGCCTCTTAGCAAAAATCAATGACGTTGGCCTTCTCGCCGAAGCCTCTTTGGGCGTCTTGGGTGCCCCCCTGGCCTCTTGGGGGTTTCTCGGGAGCCTCTTGGGGGCCTCTTGGGGCGGGTCTCCTGCCTCCTGGGCACCTCTCGGGACCGTCTTGGGGCACCCCTGGGAGCCTCGGGGGCCATCTTGGAGGAGATCGATCACAGGAGGGGGCTCCTTTATTCGGGGCCCCCCCTCAAGCGGCCAGAATGCGACCAACACCTGGGTAAAATCAATGAGTTTGGCTTCCTCGCCGAGGCCATCTTGGACGCTCCAACCCATCGCGAAAGCACCCGTCCAGACCAAGCAGGAGGAGGGAGGGGGAAGGGTAAACCCCTCCCTCCCCGAAGGGGGAGAAGGGGGGTCGGTAGAGGAAACTCTCTAAACCACTCACGCCCTAAAGGGCTGGTGGGATTATCTCCAAGTGCTGCTCCCATGCACTGGCCCAAAATACTGCCCCCATGTGCTGCCCCCACGTGTTGCTCCCATGCATCGCCCCCAAGTATTGCCCCAAGGCATCGCCCCAGAGACCGAGCCCTCCATCCAGCCCCGCGCGCGCAGGGAAGAAGTAAGACCGGCTGCCCCCCCTCATTCTGACTTACACATGCATCGGAGGTTGGGGGTTGAGATCGCAATGGAACGGGGAGCCCCCCACCGGGAAATCGGCTTCGGTTTCGTGTCGCGCGTGCGTGTGAGACTAAGCTGCGTGGGCGCGCGAGAGGAATGATTCCACCGTCGCTGGGGCGACTCGGATGCAGAAGTCCGGCCCTCGGGTGGGCGCGCGGAGGCTGGGGTGTCCGGCCGTGGTGTGCCGCGTTGTCCCAATGGTGTCCCGCGGTGTCCCGCCATGGTGTCCCGATGGTGACTCGTGGTGTCCCTTGGTGCCCCACGGTGTCCCAGTGGCGTCCTGCGTAGTCCCGATGGTGTCCAGTGGTGTCCCGCGGTGTCCCGCCGTGGTGTCCCGCCGTGGTGTCCCGATGGTGTCCCGATCGATAGTGAGATCGATAGCAGAATCGATAACAACAGAGATGTGGTGATATCGATAGTAACATCGATAGTACAATCGATAGCGAGGTCGATGGTGCGATTGAATGCGAGATCGACAGTGAGATCGATGGTGGGATCGATTCTGAGGTCGATTGCGAGATCGATTGACATCGTTTCAGAGATCGAATGTGGATTCGACAGTGAGATCGGTCCAGTGAGATCGATAGCAAGATCGATCGTAAGATCGATAGTGAGATCGATTGTGACATCGACTGTGAGATCGATATCGGGATCCGTTGAGTGAGATCGGTAGCGAGAACGATAGTGGATTCGATTGTGAGATCGATCAACTGAGATCGATCAACTGAGGTCGGCATTGAGGTCGATCAACTGAGATCAACTGAGATCGGTTCAGTGGGACGGATCGCTCCTCGTCCTTGCGCGCGCGCACCCGCGCATGCGCGCACACGCGCACGCTCACACACGCGCGCACGCGGACTGCCCCCGTTAGAGGGCGACGCGCGACCACAATGCTAGGACACCCGCCCCTGGGCCCCATATTTCCACACACACACACACACCTTGTTAATATTCTCAGATGCTAAGCGGGGTGTGGTTCCAACGCCCAAGTTTACAAGGGAACGTGGTTCGAGCAAACGATGTCGTCCAGAAGTGGGGGTCCCAGCACCCCATTTTTCCGGGGGGCAGTGGTTCCAGGAGCCCACGGCGTGGGCTCCGGCACCCAATCTCCATCGAATCCTGACGAGGGAAAGCGGTCCCACCGGATCCTGCCGTCAAGCAGGCTGGGCTCCCGCACCCAGCGCTCACGAGGGGCAGCGCTTCCGGCAGCCCGCGGCGTGGGCTCCAGCACACATGAAGTCTCGACGAGGGGGAGCCGCTCCAGCAGATGCTGCCGACAAGACGCCCGGGCTGTCGTCTGAAACGGCAGCTCGGGAGCCTCGAGACGGGGGTCAGTGCAGACGGGGGGTCAGCCAGAGCGCCGGATCTTGCAGGATCCTGCAGCGCCAGGGTCGCATTGACCCAGGTTTGGGTGCAGGATCCTGCAGGGTCCTTCGTATTGACCCGGCTTTGGGTGCAGGATCTTGCAGGATTTTGCAGGCTGGATTGACCCGGGTCTGGATTGACCCGGGTTAAAAGATCCCCGAGCAGCTAGGGCGACTCGCGCCCCAGCCACGAACCATCTTACGGTCCTGCAGAACATCTCGCCCGAAAAATCGTCGCTTGACTGGCAAGTCAGGTGAATACTGTTGGTCGTGAATTTTCGGAGAGCGTGTCAACATAACGGAAACGCGTGTCACGCGCGCACACGCCCACCCGCGCGCGCGCGCCCGCTCGGGATGGGGATGGGGCTCGGGCTCGGTCTCAAGCTCGTGCTCGGGCTCGCGCTCGCGCTTGCACCTAGGCTTGCGCGCGAGCGTACGCGCGCGCGCACGCGCGCACGCACGAACGCGCACACGCGCACGAACGCGCACACGCGCACGAACGCGCACACGCGCACGCTCGCGCACACGCGCACGTTCACGCACGCGCACACGCACGCGGACTGCCCCCACTTGACGGCGAGGCGCGATTTCGGTGCTAGGGCACCCGCCTCTGGGCCCGGTACTCCCCCCCACCTCTTGCTCATGATCTCAAGCCCAAAACGGGGTGTGGCTCCAGCGCCCAATTCTACGAGGAAGAGTGCTTCCAGCAGATTCTCCCGTCAAGCAGGGCGGGCTCCAGCACCCACACTCTACGAGGGACAGTGGTTCCAGCAGCCCGCGACGTGGGCTCCAGCACCCAATTCTGACGAGGGAAAACAGTCCCACCGGATCCTGCAGTCAAGAAGGGTGGGCTACAGCACCCAATGCTCACGAGGTGCAGTGGTTCCGGCAGCCCGCGGCGTGGGCTCTGGCACCCAAGTCTCGACGAGGGAAAGTCGCTCCAGCAGATGATGCCAACAAGACGACCGGGCCGTCGTCTGAAAAGGCAGCCAGGACGACCCGCGCCCCAGCCACGAGCCTTCTCACAGCCGGGGCGCTGAAGAAGGAACCCTCTTCGTTGGGGAGGGGCTCGGTGTTCCTTGATTGTTCGACAGTTTGCCTGCGATGTTCCTGAGGTCTTCCGTGGGATATCGAAGGTTAACCTATGGGCAAGAGGGGCCTTCCTTGTTTAGGGCTTATTCGGTCAGCGCCCCGATTGCATTACAGTCCGTCAAACGTTCCGCACGCAAGATATTCACTGGACCGTACAGTCAACCCGCATAGTAAGGATGGGCAACCTTCCCAAGGGTACCCTTGCATCTTTGCCTCCTCGGTCCACCCTTCGCCACTTTCGTCAGCCGCGCCCCGCTCGAAAAGCTTCGAAATGGGCGTCCAAGGCCCTTGCATCCTTATCGCGCATCCTTACGGGTTGACTGTAGTCAGCCCCTACAAGCGTCACCGCTCTACTGCGGCAGGCGCCTCCCATGAAAGATGACCGCCCCACGGGCCCGCCATGCATGCAGGAGCTCCGTGCTGAAGGCGACAGCCCTCAATCCGACCTGGAAGGAATGCGACAAGGTGGGGCTTCAGAGGTCAAGGGTTCAAGGGCGCAAAAAACGCCCCTACCCTGGTTTACGAGGCGCTGTGCGCTGAACCTCTTGTGGGCTAACAGGGTAAACCCTGCGTGATGTGCGGCGTCCTGGCGGCTCTCTGGGCTTTGGGAGTTCCCAGGAGGTTTACAGACCACGCACTTGTAACCCAGGGTAGGGTCGTTTTTTGCAGCCCTCAAGGATGTGCCTAGCGACAGCCCCGCTTTGAAAAGGAACCGGTCTGCATCCATGCAGTTGGCGCACCGTTCTTCATTTTTGACCCTAACATTTTACGGAGCTTCAGGCGACAACCCCATTTTGAAAAGGAACCGCCATCCATCCGTGCAAGTCTTGCACATGCTAGCACTTGCAGTAATACGGTTCGAGGAAGTCTCAGGCGACAGCCTCATTGTGAAAACGTGCCAGCCTCCATCCGCGCAATTGCTTGGGATTTGTTTAAGACGATTGTGCGCGGCGCTCATGCGAGAGCCAATGTTTGAACATGTACCAGCCTCCATCCGTTTAAAGAGTGGACATGTTGAAAGCGAGTGAATGCACGCGGCGCTACGGCGAGAGCCACATTTTGAGAACTACCCGTTTTCCGCCTTCCATCTATGTCAGTCGTCTTGTTTAAGACGAATGCGGGCGGCGCGAAGGCGGGAGCCACATTTTGAAAACCACCAGCCCTTCACCCATGTAAATGGTGAAATTCTTGAAAACGCATGCGCGCGGCGCTAAGGCGAGAAACACATGTTGGAAACCATTCGCCCTCCATGCGTGTAGCTGGTGGGAGTTTTCGGCTTCGGGAAGGCTCAAGCGAAACGCCCGGCCCGGCCTGGGGGCACGTCTGAGGGTGCGACAAGAAGGAGGCATTTATTAGAAGGGAGAGGGATGGAGGAGGAGGAAGAAGAGCAGGAGGAGGAGGAGGACGACGACGACGTTGACCAATACTTAAAGGAGCAACATCCGTCTTGGAGGAGGAGGAGGAGGAGGAGGAGGAGGAGGAGGAGGAGGAGGAGGAGGAGGAGGGGGGGGGGCTCTGAGTGCACATGGGAGGCGGCGAGGCGGCTTGCTCGGAGCGCAGTCAGCAGCGCTGTCTCGATACGTCGTCCGGTGTCGCACGGCCTCCTGCTCCATCGCAGTGATGGTGCTCGGTCGACGCGACCGCCATCGTGGCGATCATCGGCTGCTCCATCGCCGCCGGCTCATGCTCTGTTCACACCGCCGGCAGTCTTGTCAGAACCATTGACACGGTACAGGTATTCTGGGCGATGAGACGGGGGGGTATTCCAGCCAAGCGCCGCTTCTCTCGGCCACTCCTCTGCCCCCGCTCAAGAATGTCATCGATTTTGCATGCCAGCGCAGATTATGTGATGCCCCGCTTGTCAGCAGGCTATTCGAGCTTGCGCGCTCCCTCTGACTACTAGTAAACGATCTGCCCGCTTTAAACGGTCTGCTCGCTTATCGGGGTGTCTGCCATGCGTGAGAGCTTCGCCGAAAACCCGCGCGTCCACCCCCCTTGCATCTGAGGTGGGGCATATTCCTGACGGGCTCCAGCATCGTTGGTGCTGGCATCAAGGCGAGACGGGAGGGTGCGGCTTGGCATTGCTGAGCACACTGGAGCAACAGCAGCAGCAGAAGCAGAAGGAGCAAGACGGCGGCGACAACAACGAAGACGACGACGATGATGACGACGACGTCAGGAAGGGGGGGATATCATAAACACCGACGGCTTGCACATCTGACTGAGTCGTTCCGACGTTTGAGGAGAAGGGGACAGGCAGGCCGAGAAGCAGGCTGACACATGGCCCTTTTTTCCAGCTCGCGCAAGAGAGAAATGGGATTTCAGAAACCAGCGGCTCGCATCCGATGCTTGCGGAGTAGGAACTCAGCCGCTCCGATGCTTGGGGAGTACGGTGACAGACACGGGTTTTGCATATGGATCCGCCCAATCCCCACCCCCTTCGAGGGGGGGGGGGGGGGGGCAAAGGGCGGCGGCGAGAGGGCGGCAGCCACTCGAATCCGCGAAGAAGCACTCCCAGATGAGCTCCAGGAGCGAGGCGATGGCCCTGCGGTCGGCCTCGGAGGTCGGGACGATCGCCCCCAACGCCGCGCGCGCGCAAGCTCGCAGCGCCACCGAGCCGCCAGCTCGCCGAGAACGGCGGCCGAAGACCCGCGCAGCGCTACCGCACCAGGGCCCTCCGCACAAGCCGCCGCTGCAGCCGAAGCAGCGGGCCCAGCAGCAGGCTCCGCGAGCGGCGCCTCCACATCCACGGCATTCCTGATTGCGCCGCCGCCACGCGGCAGGCCTCACCAGGCCGTTGGCCAATTCGCCCTTGACGTCCGAGTTCGCATTCGTCGCCGACGCAGCGCCAGCATGGGGGCCAGGCCCCCGTGCCAGCCGCTCCAGCGGCCGCCGCTTGCTCCTCGGGCACCGCCCACGCCGTGGGCTCGCCGCCTCCACGCCCAGCCCCGGCTGCCCCAGGCACCGCGCCGCGCACCCTCCGCACGCCGCGCCGCGAGTGCGGCGCTGGTGGAGGCGGCGCTGGCGCACCTTGGCAGTCGAGGCCGCCCGCGGGGGCGAAGCGTCGCGCGCGCCGCCGCGGCGCCGCCGCCGGCCGCCGGCCGCCTGGGCCGCCCCAGCCCCGCGGCCCGCCCCGTAGACCCCCCTCCATAGCGCGCGTAGCGCGCCAAGGGCGGCGCTGGAGGCGCCGCCAGGGGGGGACCCAGCGCCGATCCGAGAAATCTGCGCGGACCTCCGAGTTATCATGTTTATGCCATTGTTCGTTCCCCTAAAGGAGGAGGAATGAGGAGGAGAGGGTGGAGGAGGTGGAAGGAGGGCGACGTTGGCCCCACGGCAGGCCCCGCGCATCAGCTCGAAGAATCTGGTGAGCATCATCTTCTGCGAGGCGGCCGGCCCGCCTTGGCACCGATCCCCCATGACGCCCACCCACCGCATGCGCACGCGCGCCTAACTGCGGGCCTCCTCCTCCTCCTCCTCCTCCTCCTCCTCCTCCTCCTCCTCCTCCTCCTCCTCCTCCTCCTCCTCCTCCTCCTCCTCCTCCTCCTCCTCCTCCTCCTCCTCCTCCTCCTCCTCCTCCTCCTCCTCCTCCTCCTCCTCCTCCTCCTCCTCCTCCTCCTCCTCCTCCTCCTCTCCTCCTCCTCCTCCTCCTCCTCCCCTCCTCCCCCTCCCTCCCTCCCTCCCTCCCTCCCTCCCTCCCTCCCTCCCTCCCTCCCTCCCTCCCTCCCTCCCCTCCCTCCCTCCCTCCTCCCTCCCCTCCCCCCTCCCTCTCCCTCCCTCCCTCCCTCCCTCTCCCTCCCTCCCTCCCTCCCTCCCTCCCTCCTCCTCCTCCTCCTCCTCCTCCTCCTCCTCCTCCTCCTCCTCCTCCTCCTCCTCCTCCTCCTCCTCCTCCTCCTCCTCCTCCTCCTCCCTCCTCCTCCTCCTCCTCCTCCTCCTCCTCCTCCCTCCTCCTCCTCCTCCTCCCTCCTCCTCCTCCTCTCTCCTCCTCCTCCTCCTCCTCCTCCTCCTCCTCCTCCTCCTCCTCCTCTCTCCTCCTCCTCCTCCCTCCTCTTCTCCTCCTCCTCCTCCTCCTCCTCCCTCCTCCTCCTCCCCTCGTCCTCCTCCTCCGCCTCCTTCTCCTCCTCCTCCTCCTCGTCCTCCCCCTCCTCCTCCTCATCCCTCCTCCCCCCTCCGCTTCCCTCCTCCTCCCTTCTCCATTCCTTCACCTTATAGATAACTTCTCCCTGTCGCACCCCGAGGCCAGTCTTTAGGGCGGGCCGTGCGTTTCGCCTGAGACTTCCTGACCATTTCTGATTCTGAAGCTGAAAGGGTGAACAGCTTCACAGATGAAGGGTGGGTGGTTTTCAAAATGTGGCTCTCGCCGTAGCGCCGCGCACATTCGCTTTAAACATTTGCAAGAGCTTTTACATATTGAGGGCGGGTGGTTTTCGAAATGTGTCCTTCGCCATAGCGCCGCGCAGATTCGTTTTAAAATTTGCTAGAGCTTCACGGATTGAGGGCAGGTCGTTTTTGAAATGTGGTTTTCGCCTTAGCGCCGCGCACATTCGTTTTAAACATTTGCAAGAGTTTCACGGATTCCCACGATCAACGTACCAGAAGTTGTGTTTTGGAAAATATGCATATAACGGCGCACCGGGTTCGGGGGCCGAGGGCCGGAACCTCGACCGCAAATGTGGGTTCCGGGGCCGGGGCCCGCTTGTGGGAGGCCTACGATCGCCCCGGGGAGCCCTCAGACAGCAATCCCGGCGGCCCCAGACGTCTCGAGACACCCCCAAGACGCCGTCCAGGGGTCATTGGCGACGCACGATGCGTTTTAAATTGCCCCAGGGGCTCCCAAGACGCCCCAATAATTAGGCCTTGAAGATGCCGCCCAAGAGCGCCCCGAGAGGGCAAACTCGTTCATTTTCATATGTTTTTGTAAATGTTTTTTGCATTCTCGCTGTTTCGCGTTTCCAGCACTAAAGCACCGCCCAAGAGGCTCCCAAAACCGTTCCAAGACGACCAAAGAGGGCCCCAAGACGGCCCAAGAGAGCCCCGAGGCCCCCGAGCCGCCCTAGACGGCGCAAGAGGGTCCCAAGACGGTCCGGGCCCGCCCCGAAACAGGCCACGACAGGCTAAGAGGGTCCCAAGACGGTCCCAAGAGGTCCCGAAGACGCCCAAGATGCCCTCAAGACGGCCGACGAGGACTCCAACGCGCTCCAGGACGGACTCAAGAGGCTCCCCAAGAGGGCCCTGGAAGACGAAATTCTTTCAATGTCCGATGGATTTCACAGGATTTTGGCGTTCTCGCTTTTCCCGCTTCCCAGCGCTCCCTCACGGCCCCAGAGGTCCTGCAGATCGCTCCAAGACGGCCCACGAGGCCCCGAAGAGGGCCCCAAGACGGCCCAGGAGGCTCCCCAGACAACCCAAGTGTGCCCCAAGAGCGCCCCAAGAGGGGGCCCAGAGGGGGACCGCGAACCGATGTTTCGAGGTCTCTGGCCCTAGAGCTTCCACGAAGCCCCGTGAGGCCCCCAAGAGGCCCCCAGGAAGCTCCAAGAGGCCCCCAAGGGGCCCCCAGGGAAAGCCCAACCCCTAACACACTCCAACAAATCATGTCCTCAGAAAACCTTCTGGGGACATGCTTCATCATGGGCCCGAGAGTCTCCGGAAGCTCCGATGTACCATCGCGCTACAGGAGAGCTGTCTGGAAAGTTGATTGGGAATTGATCGCCTTCTCGCGGCCCTCCGCGGCTCGTTTCGCACAAAGTTGGCCCAAGTGCCCTCTTGAACCAACGACGACGACAAAGATGACGAAACGACGAAGACGAGGAGGAGGAGGAGGAGGAGGAGGAGGAGGACGACGACGACGACGACGGCGCGCCCCAAGAGACGACGACGACATTTCGACGACGACGACGGCACGTCCCAACAGGCTCCCCAAGAAGACCCGAAAACCATGTTCCCAGAAGGCCTTCTGGGAACCCCATTCATCAGGCCTTTGCCCCCTACGCAACCATCTTCCCCGAAAGTCTTCCAGAGTGCGGATTGGCACGCATGGATTTCTCATTTCCCATCATGCGTTCAGCGTTATGGGCATTTTTTCATTTCCCGTTCAAGCCATATGTGGTCCACCACTTCAGTGGAGCAGTGAACTCGTCAAGGCCTGGGGCTTGCTAGAACCTGAGCGCGCGCGAAGCGCGCGCCATGATTCTAGTTCAGGATTCTGCGGGCGCAAGAGTTATGTTGATTCGCGGTGTTGAGGTCCCGAAAACGGCGTTCTGGCACGATTCCGGATCGTCAAGACGCAGCAGTCAGGTTGATACGTGGCGTTGAAATCCCGAGCGCCATGTTTCGGCACGCTTCAGGATCTTCAAATGGTTGTCTTCCAACGAGGCAGTTCCCTCAATGGAAATGAACCGTTGTAAGGGCCTACGAAGAGGGAGTCGTTGATGACTCTTGGGTTCACACTGGTCATCCTCCTCCTGGCTTTCCCCCCTACTCCCCCACTTGTCTTACTGGCGCTGGGCTGTAGTCAACGTCGGCAGCGGTCTTGAACGTGAGTGCTCCTGATTTGCGGCATGCCTGCTGCTAGCCTCAAGGGCTCATGACAGCAGGGACGAGCCGCCACAAGCCACGTGACAAAAGAGGTTGCATGTAACGAAGAGGGATCGTCATCAGGGTCCACGTTTGAACATGAGCACCATTGCCGTCGTCATCGATATCTTCCAGCATTTTACATACGCCGCTCTGCATCGAGCAGCATGGGCAGGGAAGATCTGGCTGATTCACCAGGCTCCACAACACATCCGCAGGACCCTTCGACTGGACCGTTCATGTTGGCTGTGGCGTTGCATGGGTTGGTGGTGTCCACGACAGGCACACATGAGGGATATGCTTGGGGACTTAGTGTTGGCCCCTCGGAGGCGTCTGCGGAGCCTTCTGTACGTCTCCGCGCTTTCTTAGGGTGTTTGAGGGCGGTGGGGGGGTGCGCCGGCGGTCTTGCCCTCACCCAGGAGTCTCACAGCCGGACGCGGCCGCTCGAGTGCGGGTTGGGCGTTGCGTAATGGGGGAGTCATACATGGGGGGGGGGCGAGAGTGGTCCGAAAAGGTACCCAAACGGTACCTAAACGAGCCCCCTGGGGCTCCGGAGGGGCCCGAAAGGGGCACGAAAGGGGACCGTTTCTGACCCCCCCATTTGTGACCCCCCCATTAAGCCACGCCCAAGCGGGACGTTGCCATGGCGCGAAGCGCAGAGACGCAGGCGAAGGAGCAGGAGGACGGGGAAGGCATTCGGGCGCGGTCCGTCGAGCCGTCGGCCGGTCCTCTGAGGCGGTGGCCATCTACGGCGTGATCATCTCAATCATCATGGCCAACAAGATCGAGGCAGCCGCACGTGCTCTCGCGGGCGACCGTCCCGGGACCTCTGCGCTCCCCCTCTTCCTCATCAGCAGCAGCGTCAGCATCAGCATCATCATCGTCAGATCATCATCATCATCATCATCATCATCATCATCATCATCATCATCAGCAGCATCGTCATCATTACTATTATCATCATCAGCATCAGCATCATCATCATCATCAGCAGCATCATCATGCTTAGTGTTCAGCACGTTATTGTCAGTTTGTGTGGTCTTGGGCAGGCCGCAAGCGGGGTATGAGATTAAGCATTTCCGTGACCTCTCTTGGCTCGACCTCCCGCCCTGACCCTCCTTGCGGATTTGCAGAGAGGCGGACGGAGAAGTGCGGATCGATGTGCCCTCACTGCAGTCCCTCGGGCCCAGGGCCTTTCAGTTTGGTTCCTGCCCACCTGCCGGGCTCGCAGCACCACGGGTCTGGCGTCTTGGCCCACAGTATGGTCTTTGATGAGACGAATTGATGTCACCATTATCGTTATCAACGTCATCATCATCACCCGCTTGATCACCATCACCATCATCATCACCACCACCACCACCACCACCACCACCATCATCATCATCATCATCATCATCATCATCATCATCATCGTCATCATCGTCATCAGCATCATCGTCATCAGCATCATCAGCATCATCATCGTCGTAAGTTTCATCGTCATCGTCATCATCATCATCACCACCATCAGCATCATCATCAGCATCGTCATCATCATCGCCATCAGCATCAGCATCGCCATCACCATCGTCGTCATCGTCATTATCATCATCATCATCATCATCATCATCATCATCATCATCATCATCGGCATCGGCATCGGCATCATCATCATCGTCAACATCAGCATCATCAGCACCGTCATCAGCATCATCATCATCAGCAGCATCATCATCACCGCCATCAGCATCAGAATAACCACCACCATCATCATGAGCATTAGCATCATTGTCATCGTCGTCATCATCGTCATCTTCATCGTCATCTTCATCATCATTATCATCGTCATGATCATCATCATCATCGTCATCATTATTATTATCATCGTCATCATCGTCCCCGTCATCACCATCATGCTCCCAGGCATCGGGATTGCGCGGCCCTGCAGGCCACAGGCACAGAGCCCACCAAATGGTTGCCACGGCTCGGGCAGATCATTACATCCCGTCCACGTGCCCGGCATGCGGCAAGCACTACGGCTCTCGACAGCGGGCTGTCCACCACTTGCAGTACAACGCTCACCGAGCGCGTTCCACTACTCGCAGAGTGCCTACTCGCAAACGTCCGAAAAACACATGTCTGCTTTGATGTGATTTATCGTAGATCCCCCGAGGGTGATCCAGGCCATCTGCGAGGAGTCACTTTGCGAGCACTGGAACGCGGTCGTCGAAGCACCAAGGTGTGCCGTGAGATGGTGCGAGCGGGCCGACTCCACGGATACGAGGACTCCCCGATCGAGAATGCAGACCGAGCCGATCGCGCGCAGGTGCGAGCCGGCGTGCCGGCCGGTCGAGGGCGCCCCGTGGCGCGACAGCGGCGGCCACCAAGGCCGCCCGACTCAATTCGATGAGGCGCACGCGGCGGCATCCGCTCGCCACACGACACATATTCTCGTGGAGGGCGATCAATGGAGAGGAAGCATGCTGCCAAATGATTCCCAGATGTCTAAACCATGTGTTAAACATGTTGTAAGCATGTGAGACAAAAACAGATTCAAAACATGTTTATAACATCCTTCCGACCTTTTGACCAAATCTTGAAATTCAATGATAGGACTGTTAGGGTCTCCATTGCCGTGGCATCCACAAGCATATTCCACATTCCCTTCCTGTGCAACAGAGGCGTCCTGCACGCAGCGCAGCTTCCACCCGGAGCCCGAGCACCACCGGCCTCCGCATAGGTTTTCGTTATTCGGCCTACCTTCAGGTAACGCCATAGTCGCTCGTTCATCACCATCATCCTCATCATCCTCATCATCGTCATCATCATCATCATCATCATCATCATCATCATCATCATTATCATCATTATCATCACCATCATCACATCATCATCATACCCGGCATCATCATAATCATCAGCATCATCATCAGGTTCATAAGATTCATCATCATCATGAGCATCAGCATCAACAGCAGCATCATCACCCTCATCTTCATCGGCCCCATCATCATCAGCAGCAGCATCGTCATCAGTATCACCGTTATCTTCATGATCATCATCATCAGCAGCAGCAGCAGCGGCATCATCATCATCATCATCAGCAGCAGCAGCATCACCATCATCATCAGCATCACCAGCAGCATCATCAAGATCATCAGCGTCAGCAGCATCAGCAGCAGCATCATCATCGTCCCCGTGATTACCATCGTCGTCATCGCCATCCTCTTCGTCATCACCACCACAATCATCAGCAGCAGCAGAAGTATCATCATCAGCATCATCATAGTCATCATCGTCCTTCTCATCATCATCATCATCATCATCATCATCATCATCATCAGCAGCAGCATCATCATCATCAGCATCATCATCAGCATCACATCATCATGATACCCGGCATCATCACCATCATCAGCAGCATCATCATTATCAGCAGCATCATCATTATCATCAACATCATCAGATTCATCAGCAGCAGCATCAGCAGCAGCATCATCACCCTCATCATCATCGGTCCCATCATCATCAGCAGCAGCATCGTCATCAGTATCACCGTCATCTTCATAAGCATCATCAGCGGCATCATCAGCAGCAGCAGCATCACCATCATCATCAGCATCACCATCAGCATCATCAAGATCATCAGCGTCATCAGCATCATCAGCAGCATGATCATCGTCCCGTGATCACCATCGTCGTCATCGCCATGATCTTCATCATCACCACCACCACCAGCAGAAGCATCATCAACATCATCATCCGCATCCTCATCCTCATCCTCATCCTCATCACCACCACCATCATCACCATCGCTATCAACATCATGCTCCTCCTCTTGCCCATCCTCGCCTTCACCTTCCTCCCCCCCCTCTTTGCGTGCCTGCCAGAGGCCCTCGTGCTCCCAGCGCCGCCTGGAAGAGGCTCGCTCCCACAGCCTGCGCCGCCCCCCTCCTCTGCCGAAGGGCCTGGGGAGCCACCGCCGGCCTGCCTGTGCCAGGAGGGAAAATACTTACAGACACGATGAATCGTCGATTCCCCAGAAAACATGAGAAAATATGTGAAGGGCGGGGGGGAGAAAAAAACCCGGAAAATATGGGAACAGATAGGGGAATCCTGTTATTTGTGTCTGTTTATGTGTGTGTCCCGGGGCCCCTTTACTGTACCCGCCCCTCCCTCCACGCAGGGCATCCCGGAGTTCGTCCCGTTCTCCCACGCGCTGACCGGGAGCGAGGCAAAGGCCATGGTCGCAGGCTCTGCGGTTCCTCGCTCCCTCTCTCCTTTGGAAGAGGTGCGAAGGGCGCCGGCAGGAGCATCAGCAGAGCAGCGCCACCCGCGTCAGCAGGGAGTCAGACAGGATCGCGGCACGGAAGAATTCACGCCCGGGGTGTTTGGGACCGTTTCGGCCTCTGGGGGCCCTCAGCGTGCCCCGGGGGCATCAAAGAATGGCTCGGGGATGAAAAACCAGCCCTCGGGAAAGGGTCGGGACTTCCGGGGCCCCCGTCCTGGAAAAAGCCGAGGCGTCGCATGCCTGGGGAGGTTGGCTGAGCGAGGGGCATCAGTGGGGCCAGCTTGCCTTGCGGCATAGAGAGAAGGAGGTCCCGGAGGGAGGGCGTCCTGGAGGTTCCTCGCTGCCTCTCACGCCCAGGGCCAGGCCCTCCTGCAGGCGCGGGCAAAACATATGGAAGCCCCGGCCCGGGGAGGAGCCCAGGAGCCCAGGGTCCGATTCTGCCAGGGCCTCCTTTCCCTCCTGCCCGTGGCGCCTCCAAGTGCAGAGGCCCCGCTCTCAGGACCCACGGAGGCCCCGCTGTCCCTGGAGAGCGCGCCCGCCGACGAACCTGCACAGGGAAGCCCCACGATCGGGCTGGGGAGGGCCCGCACGTCCGCGGCCGCGCCCACAGGGAGTCGAGACTTTGGCTGGGGAGCCTCAGGTGGAGAACGAGGAGGGGAAGGAGAAGGATTGTTTTTTCTTTCACGGGCATGCTGCTGCCTCGTGCGTGCGTGTGTGTGTGTACAGGCGGTAGTCGGTTCTCTTCGCTGAAGGAGGGGAGGGAGAAGGAGGAGAGCCACGATCGCTCGATCCCGCCCCTCTTTGCCCCGCAGGGGGGCCGAGACGGCAGCCAGCGCGGCCTGCACAGCCCATTCAGGCAAGCGGTATCTGCTCCAGCTCTCATCGCGACCGCCACCGGCTGCGACATCTGCTGCATCCACAACTACGACCGCACGGGACGAGCGGCCCCGCAGTCCCGCCTGGCATAGACGATTTCGTCGGCAGCATACTGACGATCAAATAATTTCTACTACGACTGCGTACAGCCCGCGAACTACTGCGAGCACACCGCAGTGCACAACAACCGCCACGCCACCCACCGCGACATCCACCACGAGTTCCCAAAGTGCTTGCACCGTTAAGACCCACCGCGAGCTGAACGCCGAGCAGGGGTCCACCTACGCGACCTACTACACCGCACTCATTTCTTCACCCCTGGGTGGGTGTATGTGCGGCCGCTTTTGCGCTGGAAGGTGCGCGCTTGTGCGCCGACACACGCGTGCATGTGCCGCGCCTGTGCGGGCCTTTTGGGTTGGAAGTCCTAGTGTGCACGTCGTGCCCAGGAATGTGCCCAGGCATGTGCGCGTTGTCTGGGTGTATCCATTGTATGCACATACACGCACATGCCGACGCACGTGCACGCACATGCTGCACATGCGGAGAGTGTGCGAGAATGGCAGATTTGCCAGCGGCACATGCACGCACATGCCTGCGCAACGTCCCTGTGGAAGACCGCGCGGGCCCGCACATGCACGCACATGCGTTGAAGCGCGCGGCTGCACATGCTCGCACACCCCGACGCACATGCACGCACGTGCCTTCAGAGCTGCTTGGGGTCGCCAGAAGTGCCTCCAGTGCCTTCTGGCCCTCGGAGCGTTTTTTCTGGGGCCTGCCAAGGCTTCCCAAGGCTTGCCGCGGCTATGAGGGGCTCACGTGCCATACATGCCGAGAGAGCCGGTGCACGCTTGACCCCCATCACTGCTGGCAGGGGCGGCTCTTCGCCCGCGGATCACGTCTATGTGATTCGCCCTTTGTCGTCGTCCAGTGGCCGTGCAGAGCTTGCCCTCTTCAAATCTCCCCTCGCTTGCCAGCTCGGTTCGGCTAGAGCAGCAGGGGGGGGAGGAGGAGGAAGGGGGGAGGAGGAGCAGGACGCCCCCAGCTCGGCAGGCCCGCCCGCCTGCTCGGCTCGGCCGGAGGAGGGGGAGGGGCAAGAGGAGCAGGAGTAGGAGCAGGAGGAGGAGGAGGAGAGAAGGGCGCGAAGGCGGGGGACGAGGAAGAGGGGAGGGAATCAGACGCAAGGGGAGGCGGGGAAGAGGAGACCAACTTCGTCTGAACTCCGAAGGGTGCCAGGGCCAGAGCGGGGAGTCAGCCGGACTGGAGGTGTAGCGGTTATTGGGAGGCGTTGGGATTCATGCTGCCTTTGTCGTGCAGTGGCCTGATGAGAATCTTCTGGTTTCGGCAGCTTGCCGAAGGTTCGCAGCCGCCCGAGCCAACATGTTGACCGGTCAGGAACCTGAATAGAGGACATGGGACCCGCGCGCCGCTTACAGCGCGGGAGGGGAGGCAGGAGAACACAAACCAGACACAGTATTTCAGACTTCCAGTATGCACAGGGCGGTTACAGAAGGAATTGCCGCCGACCCTGTAGGCAGCGACGACGAAGACAATGGAGGTAGAGGAGTGCAAGATGCCTTCAGATGGCTCGAAGACGGCGCCAAATGCCTGCAAGATCGTCCGATGACAGCTCAAGAGGCCTCCGCCAGGGTTCGGAAATGGCTCCAGAGAGTGCCAAGGTAGGCAAAGAGCGCCCTCAAGTGGCCCGAGAGGGTTCCAAGACGGCGTCATGCGAGGCCCAAAGGCGCCCGCAGATGCTGTCAAGAGTACCGCCAGAGGCTGCCAAGAGAGTCTCCGAGGAGCCTTAAGATAGGCTGAAAGGGTCCGCAGACGGCCCTGGAGGGCCAACGGAACCCCAGGACGCAGGAGGATGAGAGGCGGGGGGCTGCGCATCCGAGGGGGGACCCCTCCCCGGGAGTTGCCTCGGTTGCCCCGGACCCCCCCCCCCCCGGCTCGGAAGGGATCAAGGGAAGGGGCTACCCTTCGATTGAAGGACGACGTTGTTCAATAGTTGTGTAGACTTGTGTAGAGAGCCCTCGGAAAGCAGAAGAGGCGACGACTCTGTGGGGAACATGAAAAAACCTCTCCCGTACGCCGAAAGGGTCGGCGGATTTGCGCGTTTCCTTCATCAGCCGCGGTCACGGCCGCGGCTAGGGTCGCAGCTGCGATGACACACCCTCGCAACTCTGACCTCGCAGATGCCCTGCCCCATGGTGGTCCAGCCACTTTCGCTTGAGACATCCTCGCAACTCTGACTTCGGAAGTGCCCTGAGCTCGGATGGCCAGGCCATTTTCGCTCGAGATATTCTCGCAATTCTGACCTCGGTGATGCCCTGCCCCATAGTGGTTCGGCCACTTCCGCTTGAGATATCCTCGCAATGTTGGGCCCCGAGATGTCCTGAGCTCAGGTTGTCAGGCCACCTTCGCCTGAACATCCTCGCAAGGCCGACCTCAGAGATGCCCTCCCCGACGTTATGGTCTGGCCACTTTCGCCTGAGGCGTCCTCGCAAATCTGGCTCCCGAGATGCCCAGGTTATCAAACCACTTTGGCTTGAGACATCCCCGCAACTCTGACCCCAGAAATGCCCTGCCTCATGGTTGTCCGGCCATTTTCGCTTGAGACATCATTATCACATTTCCAGGTTCCAAGATGCCCTGAGCTCAGGTGGTCAAGCCATTTTCGCCTGAGACGTCCTCGCAACTCTGGCTTCCGAGATGCCCAGGTGGTCAGGCCGCGCCCGCGTGAGACATCCTCGCAAGTCTGACCTGGCAGATGCCCTACCCCATGGTGGTCCAGCCACTTCCGCCGCAGACATCCTCGCAATGCTGGGTTCCGAGATGCCCTGAGCTCAGGTGAAAGGACACTTTCGCTTGAGACATCCTTGCATGTCTGCCCTCGGAGATGCCCCATGGTGGTCAGGCCAATTTCGCCTGAGGCATCCTCGCAACTCTGACCTCCATGCTGCCCTGATCTGAGGTACCAACAATCCTTGCAGGCCTCGCACAGGTCGGCCTGTGCAAATGCTGTGCGGGGCATGTGCGCAACGTGCAAGAAAGCTGGGGTCGACCGGGCCGAGACGGCCAGGCTCGGAGCGGCCGGGAGTCGTCTGGCCATTTTCGCCTGAGACATCCTCGCATCTCTCGGTTCCGAGATGCCCTGAGCTCAGGTGGTCAGGCCTCTTTCGCCTGAGACATCCTCACAAGTCTGGCCTCGGAGATGCCCTGCCCCATGGTGGTCCGGCCACTTTCGCCTGAGACAGCCTCGCAGTCGGCTTCCGAGATGCCCTGAGCTCAGGTGGCCAGGCCATTTTACGCCTGAGACATCCTTACACCTCTGAACTCCGAAATGTCCTGCCCCATGGTGGTCCGGCCACTTTCGCCTGAGACAGCCTTCCAATTCTGGCTTCCGAGATGCGCTGAGCTCAGGTGGTCATGCCACTTTCGCTTGAAACATTCTCGCAACTCTGACCTCGGAGATGCTCTGCCCCAGGATATTCTAGACGCTTTCGCCTGACACATCCTCGCATCTCTGACCTCGGACATGCCCTGAGATCCTGTGATCAGGCCACTTTGGCTGGAGACATCCTCGCAACTCTGACCTCGGAGATGCCCTGCCCCATGACGGTCCAGACATTTTCACCCGAGACATCCTCACAATTTTGGTTTCCGAGATGCATTGACCTCAGGTTGTCAGGCCACCTTCGCCTGAGACATCTTCGCAAGTCTGACCTCGGCGATGCCCTTCCCGATGGTGGTTCGGCCACTTTCGCCTGAGACATCCTCGCAACTCTCGCTCCTTCCTTCATTCCTCTGTCCTTTCGCTTTTTCCTCCCCATTTGACCCTCCCTCTCTCTCCGACTCTTCGACTCTGCGGCAGAGTTGCAAGGATGTCTGAGGCGAGCCACCTGGGCTCAGGGCCATGTCGGAACCCAGAGTTGCAAGGCTGTCTCAGGCGAAAGTGGCCGAGCCACCATGGGGCAGGGCATCTCCGAAGTCAGAGTTGCGAGGATGTCCCAGGCGATGGTGGCCTGACCATTTCAGTTCAGGGCATTTCCGAGGTCAGAATTGCGAGGATGTCTCAAGCGAAAG